AAGTTCTCCTCATGCTCAGTCTGTGGCGGCGACTCGTCTAGTACAGACCATATTTCTTCCAATTTTATACCTTATATATTTTTATTAATTTTCGTTTCCATTTTATTTGCTATTTATCGAATTTATTTTTGTTAAATATATATATATTTATTTTGTTTTCGTCCAAATCAAAACAGTGGGTTATATTCACAAGTGTTTTATGCTATGACTTTAGGTTATATCCAAGGCCGAGTGCTATGTTTTTCTTTTATTTTATTTTAAGCCAAATTTTGTTGACGAATTATGAGCACGAATTTAATTGCGATAATTCCATGTGGGAATTAAGCTGCAAATCGTGTGATTTGCCGGGTTAGAAACATTTTTTTTTAATTGTCAAACACGTTTTGGGCGTATTATATATTTTTTTATAAATATTGTGGATGAGTTGGGATCTGTTCATTTTTGAATTGCATTATTTCTCTGAGTTAATGCTTGAAGTATTCAAGGTCTACGTCCTCGCCTTTTAGTCTTGTCCAAGGATATTTGAGACATGTCTTTTGTCTTTTTTTTTTGTCTTAATACTATATTGAATCAATGAAGTGTTTTTTGTGTTTATGGCCCGGGATTTCGGTAATTGCGCTAACTGCTCTCATTTAGGAGATGACTTTCTTTTCGTACAAAATTTCCCGGTTTTCTTAACAAACGTGCAAATTTCTCTAAATATTCTACTACTAATATTTTATTATTTTTTTTTTTTTGTATTGATTTTTGATTTATCATTTCATCATTTTGAGCCCCAGCTCGTTTACATTCCGACTGACATCCGAAAACTCTTTAAACTACATAGTTTTCCATTTTATTGTCAATCATTTATTGCTTATTGTATTTGTTTCTTGTTCTTTACGGAAGTGAAGTTTTAAGCATCTGTTCAGCCAAAGAGGATCGTTGAATTTTTCAAAAAGAGCAGTCCTATTTAATTGCATGTTCTGTGATTCTATCCAAAATGTCTGCTTGACCTTTTATTCAGCCGGCTTCCTTTGGTTGTTAGTAATAAATCTTTATGTTTTTACTTTTTTATCGTTTGCTAAATCTAAACATTTCTTTTGCATGTTGAAAACCTTTTCTAATAAGCTGCTACGCTTTGTGGAATCAAGCAAAGCTGGCTTTGCAAGTTTTGGCTTTTAGAGACGGGCTTAACTCAGGCTTTGTTATTTTTCTGCCATTTATTGAATTTAGTTTAATTGTAAATAATTCTTAATAGAAATACTTTTGTGGAGCCACTTCAGCAACTACTCTGCCAGGCTTATATTAATTTCATTTGATATCATTATTTTTTTGTCCTCAAACAAAGGGCGATTCTTGGTTGCCTGAAGTTGTACATAGATTCTTTGAGGGCAAGCTAAAGGCCCCCTTGCAATGTGTGAAACAGCTTATTGTCTAACCAATTGTATTGGTTTATCTATGGAATGGCAGCAGGTGAATAATCTGGCCTCTATCTGAACGGAAACTCAATTCTGGCAGCAGCCAAAGAAGAATAAACCTGTCATTCAAAGATTCTCTCGCCGAACTAGGCAATATATATAGCTGAACGTGAAGTCGATGTGAGTTTAAGGAACAGGAGCAGATCGGGAGTAGTTCAGGCGATATTCTCATCAGGTGATATCCTCTCAAGACACATCCAATCCATGGCGAGCTCTTGGAAATCGCAAACTAGGCACATCGGACGAAAAATCCCCAGAAGTGCGAACTTTGGATACGCTGAAATCGAAATAATGTGTTTATTTTTCGCATTAAATGCATGAAAATACTTATATATTTATGTTCTCAAGCAATATGTATTTTTTTTTCAGAGTTGCTTTCCAGGTTTCTGGTAAAATATTATTTGTTTGCATTCTATAAACATTTACACGTATTTCACTGAATTACACAATTAAATACTTTTAACAGGCAGCTCACTTAAATCCATTTCTTAAAAAAATATAATTAAATTTGAATCTTTCTACTAATCTCTTCATATTTGTTTTAGCCATTGGAAATTTAAACCCAGAATTATGTGAATGGGGCATATTGGCTTTGCATAATTTTCTAGGGCTTTTAGTAGGAGACATTCCCAGGCTTATAAGGCAAACATATATATATATATATATATATTCTTGATCAAAAATCAGAGCTGAATTGATCTAGGCATGTCTGTCCATCTCTCCATCTGTCCATCTGTCCATTTGCCCATCTGTCCGTCTGTCCGTCTCTCCGTCTGTCCACTTGTCCGTCTGTCAAACTCAGATCTGGAAATCCTGCTGCTTCTCCTTTTGGTCTTGGCTTGTGCTCCAAATTCATTTGAGATGTATTTAATACAATTGTAGAGGATATAATAATTTTGTCATAAAATGTGACACGCATAGAAGCAACCTATTAAGTATAACTATTCTAGATCCCCATTAAAGACGAGTTGGTAAAGTCAAAAAAATTGCATAGATACCTCTTTCTTTTGCGGACAGTAAATATATCGGACTTCTACCATATCATATAACTGCCATACGACCGATTCGGCAACAGCTTACCATATCATACTTAGCTGCTTTAGGGGCGATCGGTCAATAAAAGAAGGATCTGTTATGGCAAAATGTTCGATTTATCAAAAATATATTCTCGCTATTTCCTTAGCTCATATTCTTCAGACTGTAATAGAATTGGCTAAATTTGATGAAATATATTGATATATTGCCTGGCAGATTTTCTGGTCTTACTTATTTACCATTGCACTATTATTTTCCGATATATTCGATTCGCAGGCGGCAGCTGCATTGCTTCAATTCAAATTCCATCAGTGGGCTTTAAGCAATCCATCAACAGATTTATGCGAATGCGGGTCAAAGGACTTGGCAGCGAGCGCCAAATGGATATAAAAAGGCGAAAAGAGCTGCAGCCAAATGGACTGCCAACAATTGGTCAGACTGCCCTGCCCCTTGCCCCACCCCACCATTTTCCGCAGTCTTAAAGACTGCGCATGCAAATGTGTGGCAGCTGCTGAAGGTCAATGGGCAAAGGGGGAAGGGGGGAAGGGGGGAGGCAAAAAACGAAAGCCGCGTGCGAGCCGCACAACAAACCTTTCGTCTAGGCCTTGTCTGTCGCTGCCCATGTGTGTGTGTGTGTGTGTGTGTGTGTGTGATATGAGCAAATAAATTTTTAATAAAAGGCGCCACATGTTGCCAATAGAAGCGCAAATACAAATGGATAGGACGACGCCAGACCATGTCATAGCCATCCATCCTGGTCCTACTTCGGGTCCAGCCCCACGCCCCATGCCCCTCGTTGCACGGTGCGCCTATCTATTGCCCCATGTGCTCCATATGAGCCCAGCCAGGCAGCCATTCGGCCGCTTCACTGACGAGCCATTAGTGAATGACTTTTTATATGGCCAACAGTTGGCCCCCTGCTCGGCGCTAGATGGCGCCACTGTAGTTTGAACTGCTGATGGGTGTGTGCTGGTGATGGACGGGCGGAGGGGAAAAGAGGGGAAACATTTTTAATGTTGCCTCAAAGCGTTTTGTGCTCCATTTATCTTATGCACATTTGCAACCAGCCGGGAAGGGGAAGGGGGGTGAATGGAAACAAGTTTAAATAGTAGCTGTAATAGCTCATCATCCTTAAAAGCCTTTGCTAGAGCCTTCTTCTTCTATTTTTGTTATTATTGTTGATATTTGACGTATTTAACCTGAAGTTAAATTTGCAATTCGCGTTGCCAGCCTGATTGAATATTGAATAAGACTTTGCTTAGCATTTGCTTAGCATAAGACTTTGCTTAGCATTCAACCTTAGAGCATTTAACCTAAAGTTAAATTTACAATTCGCATTGTTAAATGAATTCATTGTCTTTATTATTTTCAAATTGAAGCATTTAAACCTTTACACATTATATTTTCAATAGCTTAAAAAATATTTCGTTTTTTAAAACATACAAAACCAATAAAATTGTTTCCTTTTTTCCAGCAAAGTACGTGGATCAACTTATAAAACTCCAAGATCCATGGTAAGTACCAAAGCTATTACAATTTTTCCATATTTAGTTTATAATAAGTTCGAAAAAAAAAACAAGAATTCGAGAAACACTTTCTTTGATCACTTTCCCACATTCACTTTTATTTTTTTACCTGTTTGTGGCTTTTGCTGCTATTTGGAAACGAGCATCTTGCAATCGTGTTCTTTTGCGTATATTTTAAATTTTATTATTTTAGACTGATTCTTCTGGTAGTGCTATATGACATAGAAGTTCGATGCTAACATAATTTGGCGTAGGGAAAAATGTGCCCGAAAATAGAAACAAGTTTTTATAGATAGATCGATCGATCTACCCTATCTATATATAATATATATGATATAGATATAATATGGTGTTCCGATCCGACCGATTTTTTTACTTATATACTTTGTGTTTCATGATATTGGCTTGAAAAGTGAGAGACATAGCTAGATTGACTCGGCTAATATATATTAAGTTACATTAAGATGTCTTCAATGATTGCTTTTATCTGGATCTCAGCCTTAAAATTGTCATGTCCCAAGGAGTATCTGGCTTTTTTAAGCCATAGATACCCTGTAAATATATTTATATTTCATACCCTGCATTTGCAAATTGAATTGCTGCGCAGCTCTGATTGCGCTCAAGCAGACGTTTGCGCTTTGCTTGAGTAGTTGCTGTGAAAAAAAAAAAAAAAAAATACGAAGAAGACATTGTCCTGCTGCAGCCAGGGGGTTGGAAAGAGTGGGGTTTGGGGGGTTGAGTAAAGTCCACGTTAAGAGAATGCGCTTGAGCGTAAAGAAGTTTGCGTAGCCAGCGACTTCTTCTGTTTTGCGCAATTTCCGCCAAGTGGTTTTTCCGGGCGGCAAACCTTTGGCTTTGCCTGTTTTCCAAGCGATTTGCATAGAACCCCCCCAGGCCCTTCCCCCTGGCCACTTCTCTGCCCAAACCAGAGAGAGAGAGAGAGAGAGAGGGAACTGAAAGCAACATGAAGAACATGAAATTTCTTGTGTGTGCGTTTTTATTTTCGATCTATTCATTGAACAATGTTATTATGCTTTATTTTGTGATTCTATGGCAAAGTTAAGGGCGGCTGGAGAGCGAGAGGGTGGTAGGAAGGTTGGGGAGTGGGATCTCTCACAGGGTGTTTCGCGTGTCGATGCTGAGAGCTGGGATATGAAACTGGACGTTGTTATCGCTTAGAGGCGTGGCAGGCTTTGGCGTAGCCAATTGCCGAAACGCATCCAAAATGGCTGACGACGTCTCAATCTGGTCTCGATGGGCCCCACAATTTGATTGGCGGCCTCCGTTGGCATTGGCTGCGCCTCCTTCTCCTCCTGTTGCTCCTTCTCCTCCTTCTCCTGCTCCTGCTCCTGCTGCTGCTCCTCCTGCTCCTGCTGCTCCTGCTGCTCCTTCGCATCATTCACATTGACATCCAGATCGTCAGGCTGCGTGTCGGGCAGATCGTGCTCCATCTGATCTGAGATCGTTTTGTGATTGATTTTTAGGCTGCTGCAAGTGCGCTCGAGAAAGTCTTCGAACTGGCCCAGCTCTTCGTTGGGATCCTGGGGCAGCTCGGTGGGCTCATCTGTGGACTCCTCCGGCTCGGCCAGGTGTTCGCCAGTCGATGCAGACTGTATGATGCCAGACTCGGAAAATAGCGTAGCCTTCTGGCCAACAAGTGCAGCGAGTTGTTTCCTTTGCTCCGAGGCCATGAGGTTCGGTTCATCCATGATGCATTCCTGTCCAGCGGCTGCCCGGGACTCGGCAGCAAACACATGTATCAGCAGGCTGGGCAGCTCCTTCACCAATATGCTGCCATCGTCCTGCACGAGCACATTATAGCTGGGTCGGCCCATGATCACGTCCACATCCAGCCCTATCTCCGGCACTATCTGGATGCGCTGCAGCGCTGTCGTCAGGCTGTTCAATAGCTCCAGATCGTTAATACGCTGCTGCAGCAGCATCTCGGCAGTTGTCTGCTCGGCCGGCATCAGCTGCCCCAGGAGCTGCCAGTCGAAAATCGATGGCAACAGCCCGCTCTGCACTATCGAGTCCGGCACCTGAATCGCAAACTTGCGGCTCTTCCACACGGCCCGTAATTGATCGATCTCCACCATGCCATACAGTTTACAATTCTCCTGCATGTCGGTCAAATAAGAATATTCATTGTTCATGACTGCAACGAGACGCACAAGGAGAAGGAGACAGACAATTAGAGAAAGATCGCAATCAGAGAGGGAGTCACAGCTTTTAGCTCTTCATGAACTTCATTAAGAATCGGGTTTTAGGTGGTTCGAATGTGGTTCAATAATAATAATAATATAATGTGGTAACATATATATATAAGTATATACATATGTATATTTAAAAGAAAACCAAATACTTAGTATGCATGTGGTTCCTCCATGTGGTTCACATTAAAGGAAAAACATATTTTACTTGCATGTGGTTCAAATGAGGTTCGCAATAAAAAAAATTCTTATAGTGATTCATATGTGGCCACATAATATGGCCATTGGAGCAATATGTAGTTGAGTGCTTAAAATAAGAGGAATTTTGATGCATAATGAAGTGCTTCCAAATGTGGTTCGAAACTGGTTCGGAGCCCTAGCTTGTCGGTTTGATTTAAATAATGTCAGAAACATAAACTTGTATGGTTAAAACAACAGATATTTTCCAAATCAGGGATATAAAATGCGGGTTAAATATAGTTAAGAGACATCGTTTGGCTGTATATTGAAAGAAAAATATATATATTTGTGTGCTTAAAAAATTTATATTTGATTTGAAACCTTTGTAAGTGGTTCAAAAGTGGCTTACAGCAATAATTAAAAAGGGAGGAATTTTTATAGTTAATGTTTTTCAGATCTGACTAATGGTAAAAAACCGGGCTTTAAAGTGGTTGACAAATATAAATATATATGATTCTCTCTCTCAGTCTTACTCTCCCTCTCTCTTTCTCTAGCTCTCTCATTTTTTTCTATATCTGTCTCTCTCTTTTATCTCGCTCTTCTTGATCTCGCTCTTTCTCTCTCTCTCTCTCTCTCTTTTTAGGTCTCTCTCTTACTCTCGTTCTTTCTTCTCGTTCTATCTTCTTGCTCTCACTTGCTCGCTCTCTCTATTTCTCTGTCCCTCTTTTTCCCTCTCTTTATCCCTACCTCTCTCTTGAGATACTCAGTTCGTATATTCTACAATCTTTGGCTTGAGTTGATATGATTGCCAGCTCTGCAATTCTGTCTGTGAATATCCCAAGAGAGTTGCTCTTCTTTCTCAAACCTTTGACCTCTGATGGCATAAAGAAGTCCATAATGCCAGCTAAGTATAAGAAACTTTTAAGCTCAAATATAAATAGCTGAAAATGCGTAACTGGAAATATCTGCCAAGTAGTTGCCGTCCAGCTGCCGACAGCTTCAATTGTGTTTATTGTATTTAAATTAACTTATTTATTGTTATGGGCAACAGCAAAAAAAAAAAAAATAAAAATAAAGGCCCCAACTACCAAAAACCCAGCGAACCGCAGGCTGTACAAATAAATATGTACAACAAAAAAAATAATAAAATAAAAAATAAACACAAAAGTTGCCAACGAAAGCAATAAAAACTGAAATTTGTCGCCGCTTGTAAATGGAATTGTTTAAAGGTGAAAGCGAGCAACGGCAAACAAATAAACAAATTAAGAGGCTGCAGCGGGGTTAAATGAAGAGGGAGGGGAGAGCAGAGAATCCGCAACGGATACGCATTATTTTTGCCAGGCCAGCGAGCAGCATGCCTCAGGAGGCGGCTGACTCTGCCGCAACAATAAGCCAAAAGCCCCTCCCCCCACGAGCTGCAATTGCTAGAGTGTGGCAGGGGGTAGGTGGTGGGGCAGAGCAGAGGCGTGCCAGTGTGCGGCCGACAAGGGGTTGGGCGCAAACGTCTGGGAATTGCCGACGACGGCGATTTAATCTTTGCAGACATTTTTATTCAAATTTATTTTAATATTTTGTATTTCTTTCGACTGCGCCGGATGCGGGCGCACACACAATGCAAGAGCGAGGGGGGGGGGGGGGTGGAACGAGGCGTGGTATAGGCGTGGCTATATACCTGGACAAATGCGGCTTTTAGCTAGGCCCCCGACCCAGTCCCGCCCAGATTCGATCTATACAATGCGAATATTTGATTATTTAAAGACTTGCACTTACCTCTAGAAAGTTGACTTGTTGGTTCAATATAAAAAAGAGAAAAGCAAAAAAAAAAAAATAATAAAGAAAAAGCAAAATGGCTTGCAGTTAAACTTAAAATTTTGGATAGTTAGTTATAAAAAACAAAACAAAAAAAAAAAAAAAAAAACAGGAAAAAATTGCTTCTATAAATATGCAAACTCCATCAATTTTTGAATCAGTCTCAAAAGTACAGTAGAGCCTCCTTGTTGATGCACGCGAACACGCCAGCAACCTGTTGCGATGTGAAGCCGTGGGCGGTGGGTGGTGCGGGTGGTGCGGGGTGTGTGGTCGGTTGGGCTTGGTTCCAGCACTGGCTCGGAATGTCGAAATATTTTGGTTCTAATAAACTAAGGTGAGTCTCGCTCGAGACTCACAGAATCTCTCTAACTATATAATTTATTGTTAAGAAATTCAAGGCCAAAGTGATTTTAACAGTTCAAGAACTAGAAACAAACTAATTTCGTTGCCTTTTCAAATCATTAACAAACATGTACATTTTCCGGCTAAGTAGGCCCAGCACCTGGCCAGGGCAAAGGGTAGGCGGTAAAGCTAGGTAGACCCTTGACTTGAACCCGTTGCGAATTATAAACAAAAGTGCTTCTAATCGCATTTCGTATTTCGGTGTTACCAAAGGTATTGCTGTGCACAACAATGGTCACATTTTTCGCCCAAAAGTTTCTTTTTTCTTTGCCAAACTAAAAGTTTACCCCGAATAACAGTTTTTGGTCACAATTTTTTTTTTTTTTTTGTACTTTGTTTTTGTTTTCGTTTTGTTTTATCAGTTCGGTTATTAAATTTGTTTTGGCTTTGGCCCTTTGCTAGCCTGTCACCGCAATTGCATAGCCGGAATGCCCCCAAATGTCCGCAGTAATGCGCTTAAGTGTCCGTTCCAGTGTCCGTTAGATCCCTCCCCCCAGCCCGGGCATGGCAACAGCTGCGATGCCAAAGATTTTCTGCAAAAAAGCTACACCCTACAATTAGGCGCAAAAGTTGAAATACTCTATCCAGCGAGCGGCACGGCATATGCATTTATTTATTTATTTTCGAAGAATTTATCTGAAGTCTAACGCTTAGATGGTTTTTTGCTCGGAACCAGTTCTCAGTGCATTTGAACTGATTCGCAAGCTGAAAATGATGACTGAACAGATTTTCTAAAGTCTATAGCTTAGTTCCTTTGTTTGGAGCTTGTTTTTTTGTGCTTTTGAATTGATTCGCAAGCTGAAAAAAAATCGGAATGAGTAGTTTTTCAGAAAGGCTTTTGCTTGGAACTAGTTGTCAGTGAATCCTTTGCTTGGAACCAGTTCTTAAGAACGTTTTCAAAGTTTATTGTTAGCAATAAATTATGTATAAACAATAATATTACAAAGTAACATTAATTAAAAAAAAAAAAATAGTTACGTTGTCTAAAAAAAATGCCACAATTAAAACTTAAATCGAAATGTGAAACACGGCAAAAAGAAAAAAACAAAGGGTATGCAGAAGATCAACGGAACGAGAACAATAAAAGTAAAGAAAAAAAGGAACGGGCACAAGGAACCAGTTCATGGGCGGAACGCGTCTCACTCATATGTGGCGTCGTGGCGGGGCGAGGAGGGGAAAGAGCAGCTGGTCAGACATGTTGTCAACTTTGCGAAAAAGCGGAAGTTAGAAATTTCACAGTGCGCTGCCGACGACCTGCTCCTGCCCTGTTCAGGATGCTGCTCGGCATGCAACATAGAATTCATTATGGCGGAAAATGTAAAAGGCATAAACAGCATCGCACAACATCCGCATATCCGCACACACACACGGTCGCAGACATATGTACATACATACGTATCCGTAACGGGCGAGTGCATGGCTGAGCAGAGGCTAGGAGCAGGAACAGGAACAGGAGCAGAAGCGGACGGCCAGTCCGAGTCCGCGTCGGGCTGTAGGCCAGTTCGACTTCAGTGCCCGCTTAATATGCTAAATGCTGCAACTTGTGCGAATTTAATGCGACTTAGTCGAAAGGTCGACCCACGTCCGGGTCGACATTTGAGGCAGTCAACGTACTCTTAAAGCGGAGTACAACTTCAACAGGCGCAAACTAAATTTGTATATTATACCAACATTTTATTCTTTTCTCCCAATCAACGACATTAATACATGTATGCCAATTGCAGAGCTGCTACACAACAGCTGCGCAACTGTGGCGTGCTGATGGGATTTTGCTTATCGATTGCACTCTGAGTACTTGTCGCGCGCAGGCATCGAACGAGGCATCGAACGGGGCATCGTTAGCTGAGCTGCACGCGCACACATTGAAATTCGCTGCCAAGTGGAGAGCTCGCGAGTGGAGAGATTATCACTAGAGAGCTTTGCATGCGTGCATGTGTGTGTGTGTGTGTGCGTGTATGTATGCAAATTCCGGCTTTTTGTTAGCGTGCGAGTGCGAGCGCAAATCGAAAATGAAAATCTACAACGTCAGGAATAGGGATAGGGGGTAGGGGGACACATAAAGAAATGGAAAAAAAAAATGAAAAAGTTTGTGTTAAGGCCAATATAGTGCTGCTTGCTGCTGCTGATGGCTATTGGAGAGTGGAATGGTGAGAGTGGTGGGAGGGGGAGGGGGAGTATTTGTGCTTCTGTTATCGATGCCGCCATTGTCAGGCTAATTCATGTGTCGCCTGCAGCAGGCGATGCTGCTAAATCGATTAAAGAGTCAACAGATTTCGAATGCAAAACCGCCGCAGGGCATAAAATATGCATGCACATTGCCACCGTCTATATGTGCGACTGTGTGTGTGTGTGTGTGTGTGTGTGTGTGTGGGCGTGCCTAATGGGTTATCTTGCACAGATTAGTGCCGTTAATTGCCGCTGCCCGCGTTTTTTGGTAAAATGAAAATTCAACTAAATAAATATGTGACAATTTAAATGCATTTCAATTACAATAAACAAACCGCAATAATTGAATATAAATGTCATAAACATTGTAAAACCGATAACATTTGCATGCGCACATACGTACACATGCATGCATGCATGTATGCATGCATGTATATCGATATATTTACATGGGCACGCACCTGTTTCTATCTCTTTCTGGCTGGACAATTATTTCTTGTGAATGATTTTCGCAAATGCATGAATTGAATTAATTGTCGCATTTAATGCGCTCGCCATTTTATAACTGCCCCCAATAATTGCATGCAGTCCAATAGAGGAAATTTCAGGAAAAACAACTATTTAAACGGACTTATTGCGTATTCCTGTACTGTTCAGGCATCGATAACTATCGACAATAGTTGCCACATTTGAGCACACAAAAAAAAACATATTTCTTTCAAAATTTATAATATTCACACATTTGAATATATCTGTATTAACAAAACTCATGGCTCTGCTTGAGGCCAGTTTCGTTAGCCAACACTTATTCGTTTTTGAACACTGTAATTAAAGCTAAGACTTGTTAATAATTCTCAACATGACCTTATGCGTCTTCTCTTTATTGGACCTGTGTTGACTTTAATTTAGCCAGGTTTTTTATGGTCAACATAGCTAGACAGCCACACACACACACACACACACACACACACACACACACACACACACACACACACACACACACACACACACACACACACACACACACACACATGTAACTGTATTAAAATTGGCACATTAAATTACATCAAGACTCGGCACTTCTCTCTTCCCTTGTTGCCTAGGCTTTAGGTTTGTTTCCCATTCAAAAAGGGGACTCACATAAGTGTAGAGCTCTTGAAAACACCACACACACCACATACACACACACACACACCGCACACACACCCAAATGAGTGGGGCGACAGGTAAAGAGTATAAATCCGCTGCTTTTGTGCTCGCCAACATTTTTAACATACTAATTAGTCTTTTGTAAGATTCATTATCATAATTGCAATTAACAACAAAAAAGGCGCCAAGGGCTGGGGCCCAACCATGTTCGCGACGATGTCAACAAAAGCGAGTGGCAAAGGGTGAAAGGGGGAAAGAGGCGCAAAGTAGGCGCAAAGGCAACACATCGCAGAGACAGCTGCTCCGTCTGCTGGTCGCCTAATCCTTGCCAGCTTTGCTCCTGGTTAAGCACCAGGCGTGGCTGTTGCATTGACTAACAAATCACATTAATCCGTTGATTGCGCCGACTTTGCAAGGGGTTTTAAACGGGGCCCAAAGCCGCTTTCAACTCTGCCTAATCCTGTCTAGCGACATTATCTATCTGTTTAGCCAAGGACTCGTTTCTAAATTGGTTTGAGCACATTTTTGGCTTGGCTCACACATGCTTTGAACCCATTTTAAAACTGTTTGAATCCAATTGGGGTTTATTTGCTTTTAACCAGCCGAAAAGCTAACCCCAAATCTCGACTGACATGTTTGTAAAGCCTATGCCCATTTAATATGGGTTTAGAAAGCGCATTTTGTCCATGTGCCGAAGCAGGCGTGTCCCTATTCGCATAGTATACATATTCTTGATCAGGACAGAAAGCTCAGTCGATATCGGATAGTACAAGAATTGGAATAATCGATTATCTTCGTCGATATCTTGTCCCCATTTCAAAATATCGATAGCTATCCTCCAAATCAATTTGATCGATAGACATTTTTTATATAAGACCATTGTCTAGGCCATGGGCAAGGTCATGAACAAAACAGCCAAACCTCGTGAAAATCGGGTCGAAAGATTATGCTTCAGCCTTAAGACTCTCACCGCAAGACCCGGGCAAGGTCGGGTAATGCCCGATAGTAAATAGAGTATATTAATGTTATATATACATATATTTATAATTTATATACATGATCATGTAATCAATTTTCTCATAATTAAATCGCTTGCTTGTTAACAGCTAATTAACAGTGAGATAACATTAACTTAAATGTAAAGGCTGAAATTCGCTTATTTAATGTCGCCTAATCGTATATCAAAACAGATTAAATACAGACTCAAGCTTGGAATGGGTGAGCCTAGATGCGTACCCTGTATAATTGAATTTTGTAGGGGGGATGTCTTAAGAAAATTGCAAATGTTGCCTTGAGGAGAAATATTAATAAACATGCATAATAATATTTGTGGACCCATTGAACTCAG